AAATGGGCCAGTGAGAGAGCAGAGCAGTTGCAACAGTTGCAACACAAGCCTGGAGACATGAGTTCAATCCCCTGAGCCCCACAGAAAGGAGGAAGGAAAGAAAAAACTCCACGAAGTTGTCTTCTGACCATGCCATACATGCTGTGACAAGTATGCTCATATACCTGTTTTTCACAGGCACGCGCGCGCGCGCGCGCGCGCGCACACACACACACACACACACACACACACACACACACACACATACTTTAAATGTCTTTAAATAACCCCTCCCCAAAATTTAAAAAAATAAATAAAAAGGAAGATGGGAGGAAGAGTCAATGTTCTTAGCTCCCAACTGTTTGACAACACAGTGGCATCAGTGTGGCAGCACCCTTGTGTCAGGACTGCAGGCATCCATGAACCACTTAGACAATATGATTTGATGCTTCACTGCAGCCATTAGGCAGATCTTCAGCCTTCGAGAATGGCTGCAGTGTTCTGGACACAAAAGGCAAGCGCTTGCCACTCTCGGCTATTATGAGAAACATCCTCAGCAAAAGAAACATTTGGCAGAGCATACAGGGCAATGACTTCTACCAGATGCGCTAGTTTCTTACTAAAGTTGATTCAATTTTCTCCCACTAGAAAGTAGTCAGTATACACACAGACACAGACACAGACATACACAGACACAGACACACACACACACACACACACACACACACACACACACACACACAGAGTGTGAGGAAAGACTGCTCGGATTAGATCTTTAAATCTCTAAAGCTTGCTCTAGAATACCTTCTTGTTTATTTTTTTTAATTAAGAAACTTCATAGTTAGCAAACTAGACAGAAGTTTCTCTTGGAAAATCAAAGCTGGCAATTCTGGCCGACACCGCATTCACAAAGAGCAGTGCTCGGTGGCCGCAAGGGAGCAATTACCTGCACAAGGAAGGCTATACCACTTCCCTTAGTCAGTAGCTGGTCTCCTTCACTATTTATACATCCTGATTTGACCTTGTAGAGTAAGCATTTGATTCCTTCCTCTAAGCCCAGGTTTCTAAATCTGTCAATTATCATATGGTGAATGTAACTGGCATGAGGGACTTTTGTACGAATGAAGTCATGTAATTTAAATGCCTCACCCAATGTCTGATGCTATAAGTTTTCTGTAAGTGTTTGCAATTTGGGTCAAACCCAGCATTTATTGGGCATCTACTGTATCCCGGATGCTGGAATAGGCATGAAGATATGCTGCTGAGAACAAGCATGGTCCCCAACTTTAGAGAGGTTGTGGAATATCATCTAGAAAAAATGCTACCCATGATGCTCATGTTCATGCGGCCTTTATTGATGTTCTGAAGTGAGAAGGTTGATGAAGCCATTGGATTGCTTTGGGGATTGCTGTGCTGGAGTGTGAAGACAAAAACAGAGAGGCCCTACTATGGAAAGGTGACCTGAGATGAATATTCTCCCAGAGTTCCCCATGCCCACCCTTCCCACAGCTCTGCTCCTCCCCCAGAGCTCCCCATCTCAGCAGATGGCTTTGCTATCTGCTCAGTTGTTCTAGCCCAAAATACTCCGTTCTCTCTTCCTTTCTATCCCCCACCACATTTAATTCATTAGCAGATTCCATCATCCCTTTCATGCAAAGCATGTCCTAGATCTGTCCACCTCCCCACATCTGTGCTGCCACCAACTACAGTGGGACAAGCCACCACATTTCTATTGGATACCCAACAACAAGGCCTTCTGGCTGCTTCCACTCAACCAGCTTGCTCTGTGAAGGGCCTGACTGTAAACACTTTAGATTTGTGGGCCTCTGTACCACACCACTGAAATATCTCCTTATGGTCCCAAAACAACTATGGGCAGTTCTGAAAGGGCCGAGCATGGCTGTGTCCCAGTGTTCATGAAAACAGACTGCAGGCTGGGTTCATGACGACAATCTATATGAAGATAGAATTCACACCCAAATCCCACAAGTGACTTCTCCAGCACTGAGGATGCACCCCAACCTTCCTGACCTTATTTGGGGCCCCTTTCTACTCCAACCATTTTATTCTTTATCTTATTATTATTTATTCTTAAGGTTTGGACCAAACAAGCTAATTCCCCATTCAAGGCCTCTATACTAGTTACCCTGAGTTCTCCTTCCCATGTTGGCATGGCCAATCACTTCCCTGAACATGTCTCTCACCACAACCTCGGCTCCCTCTAATTCGCAATTTAAAGCCACACATCTCTCTATCTTGTGCTCTTTTTCTGTACCTACTTCCATCAGAAATGTCCTCATCATTGATGGTTTATTTTGTGCTGTGATTTGTGAGAGATCAGTTGTGAGTGGAGGGCAACGTCAGAGGCTGCTGTTCTGTAGCTCACCTGCCGGGGCCCCTCCCAGCACCAGACACAGAACAGAACTCCCAAAGCACTTTAAGAAAAGAGAAAAACTGAGCACTGTCCGTCAAACCAGATGCTACTTCAAAATCACAGTCCCCGAAGGGTCACAGAACCCCAGCCGTCATGCCAGACCGGGCTCTGCTCTGCTCTCCTTAGCCAACAATTGCCAAATGTGACTTACCTAAGAATAACCAATGGGAAAAGCCACTGGGCCGGAAATATTTGAATTTCAGAAGAAAAGGGGGTATTGTCCAGCTAACAAAGAGCCTGTTTTACTGCTAAGCACGCTGCTGGCTATGTGGCTGTTCTGTCTCCTATGGCTCTTGTCCAAGCATGATGCCTAGAGGCAGGTACTTAAGGAAGACACTGCTAATAAGGAGAAACTATAAAAGGAAGGTTATATTCAGTGTGTTAATTGGCTTTTCTTTTTATCTACAGTATTAAATTATAAAGACCCAAATGGCATCTTCTGTACAGGATTCTGGACTTTAAGAGATCTGGTGGAAGATCTTTCTCTTAAGAGCTAACTGGGTTCTTTACTGGAAAATATAACTGTTTATTTTTAGGATGGAGAGTAGTTCACTGACTGCTGTGTGCTGGTCTGCTCAGCCTGCTGTAATGCAATTCCATAATGAGTAGCTGCAGCAGCAGAAATGTGTTTTCTCACCCTTGTGAAGGCTGCAAGGGTCATATTAGCAGATAGCAGGGGTAGATCTTAGCGAGAGTTGGCTGGCTGCAGATGGCAGCCTTCTCGATGAGTCCTTCTGTGGCCTCTTCTCTGTGGATTAGGGGAGGAATCTCAGATGTGGCTTCCTCTCCTCATAAGAACACCATCTTATCAGATGTCGGCACCAAACATTGTTCTCACTTCAAAAGTACTAACAGCTAGTTTATTCTGAAGCCAAATGTGAGTGGCCATGGCCAAAGAACATGGATCCAAGTTATTCCACATACTTCATTCCAACTCAGTAAGAGTTTCAGGAAGCTTTATAGTGCATCAGAACACTTTTTGAACACAGCTGTGGAACTATCCATCAGGCAGGTTGTAGCAAAGGCAGGGAAACCCCTGCCATAGGCCTCAGGTGCTCTCTGATGACGCTCTTGGCCTTTGCCTGGGGGACACTAGTTGTCTGTTAGTACATTTAAAAACAATTTGCCTAAGAGTCACAAGGATGGATGTCAGGGTAAACCCAGGGGTAGACAGTGGAGGTGAAGCTAAAGATATCTCAAGATAATTTGTCTCTGGACCTGCAACATTTCAGTTTTCCACACTAATTGAAGTTGGAATCAGTCCAGTGGCTTTTTAGAATCTTTAAAACAGCTGAAGAGGTGTTCTTCAGGGAACTCCAGTTCACAAGGTTGGGGTCTCATTGTTGTGACTTCCATGTGATCTTAAACTATTTGGCTTTTAAAAATGGCTTCTTTTAATCTAGCATACCAAACAATGGGTTTCGTTGTATCCTTGGTTACATGCTTGAAGGACTTGTATCCAAATGCAGTGACATTGGAGATCAGGGATTCACATATGAATTTTGTGGGAGCACAGTCCAGTCTATCAGGGGAGCAACTTTCAAATGCTGCAGCTTAATGCATTACAGATTTCTTTATTGATGGAGGGGTGGGGGAGGTGGGGGAAGGCTTGACTCTTTCTTGGGGAATATCTGTTGTCTGTGCTTACTTTTTTATTTTTCCTATTGGCTCTCCTTTTTCACAAGTTCTAAACCTGTAGCGTTTTCCAAATTGGAGATGGAAATTTCTAAAGAGACGATTGCCACATCAGCAATCCACTCTCCCCGGGACAGTCTCACTGTGAGGCTTTTGCCTTTCTCACGCTTCTGAACAACACAAAGGTATCCACCGAGGATCGAGTCCCTCGGGGTAAGAAGGAAGCTGTTTACCACGAGATGGCTGTGCTCCCACTAACTCCTCACAAACGTGGCCCTTTCAGGGCATTTTATGTTCCCTTGTCATCACTTATGTGTATTTTTATAATATTTGTTATGCACCTAGAGGAAGATATTAGATTAGGCTAGAAGATTACTAGAATCATTTTTAAAAAGTTTGACATTATTTGACCTGAAATTAATGTTTTCATTTATGAGCTCAACACTACTGACTCCTCACTGTGGATGTGTCCCAATTCTAAATGGTATTCATAAACACTTTGGCTGAATCCCATCAACAATCCGATGAAGGAGGTTTTATTAATGTGTGTGTGTGTGTGTGTGTGTGTGTGTGTGTGTGTGTTTATTTGAATGTATGCCACACATGTTCAGTGCCCTCAGAGGCCAGAAGAGGGCATTATATCCCCTGGAACTGGAGTTGCAGGCAGCTGTGAACCACCCTATGTGGGTACCGGGATTTGAACTAGGGTCCTCTACAAGAGCAGCTAGTGTAAACTACTGAGCCATCTCTCCAGCTGATGATGTATTATTGTTATCTTGTATTTACATATGGAGAAGCTAAGACTTGTAATGGCAGCAAAATAAACAGAAGCAATTATTAAGCCTTATGCATGGCACCAAGTTAAGTCCAACTTCACTTTACTTAATGTAAAAGTTTGATTGAATTTATTGGTTACCCAGAGAAAAATTGAGCTTACAGCTGTTGTCTCAGTTTAGCATGAGTATAGATGCCAAGCATTGTCTAAGCATCGCTTGATGTCCCATGATCCGACTTCCGGCATGAAGTTCGTCCATCCAACACTGAATAGGTGTTTATTGTGTAAAACAGTCAGGAAGTGGTGAGTTGGGCAGACTCCTGCTCCGAGATCTCTGGCAGGTTGGCAAGTCGGTCTGATCCACAAAAACTAAAAAAGTCCTCAGTAAGATTGGAATTGCTGTCACTCAGAACCCTAGAAGAGAGCAACTCATTTCACCTGGGCAGTAGTAGTACATGATTCAGGTGAGTCTGTCATTGTGGACTAGTTCTGCCACATGAGAGAAGCTATTAAACATGTCTGAAGCGAGGTTTCCTCCTCTTGTGAATGGTGACAGTGGTTCCTGCTTGCTAACACAGCTCTGAGATGTGGGGTAATGCACTATTAGTGTTGAGTGCTACGTCCATCACCCAGGACAAACTCAGTAAATCTTAGCTACTGTGATTGTTGATCCCATTGTTTGACACACAAGGAAATCAGTAGTTCTAAAACAAAGACTCCAGTGAACCCACATTACAGAAAATGCAACCCAGGCTTCAGAGCTCACAGCCTTATCATTGTGCATGTTGTACAGCTGCTGTGTCCATGTGAACATGTTTCCAACATTCCTAAGCCTCAGCGGTTCCATCTCTTGCATGGAAATAATGGTGTCTACCACACAGCATTCAGTGAGGTGTAGCAACATCAGTGTTTATGTTATACTTGCACCATACTGAGAATCTTTCTAAGGCATCCATGGAATTGTTTCAGATAATCCTCATAGTAATGTTATCAAGTATTCGTCCTGTTATGTCACATGTAAGTCACCAGCTTTATTAGGTTTTAGCCATCTTATCCCCATTCATGGGATTACCCAAAAGCCCACAGAACATAGACATCTATGTACTTAGAGCTAATCTGTGGTGGAGCCAGGATATGAATCGTGGCATCCTGCAGTTTGGACATTATGCTGTACTTTCTTACTTTCTAAGTATATCTATGATATCTACAGCAGAGTGCTCAGGAAAATGCCTGCATTCAGCAAATGCTCCCAATTATTGCTATACACAAGAAAGTATGGGGGGAAAGTTCCCAGATGAGGTAACATAGCTGCACCTTGGGAAAATATATGTAGTTATAGAAGCCCAGGTGTGAAGAATGTTTTCACAGGTAGGTGTTCTAGACAGAGCAAATAGTATATGTAAAGACACAGAGGCAGGATAGCAGAGGGTGTCTATGGAGAACTGTGAGAACTGAGTGTGTTTGGAACACATCAAGAAAAAAAAATCTGAGACAATAGGCCTGGGAAAGATAGGCTGGCATTTGACTTTGCATTTCACTTAAATCAAATGGAAGTCGTCTGGCAAGAAGTCCCTTTCTGACTTGGGATGGAGTTCTCGGACAGTAACTGTCATGGCACCTGAAGTTGGTGTGAGGGACATGGAGTCTGCCAAAGGGGAGGCTAGTCAAGATCTACTATTAATTTTGGGAGGGATGATGAATTCCTAAGACAAATTCAGCAGCCCCAGGAAGCTTTCAAACAGAAAGCTGCCTTCTGCTTATACCCCTTTGTTGTAATTGTAAGTTGTCCATGCTAGATTCCTGAGTTCCCAGACCAGTTGTGTCCCATGTCGTAATTATTTTCTTTAACATGTTTAATCTACTCCCAGAAGAGAAATTGTGCATATCTCCTTGCAAGTGATGTTTGAAGTACTTTTTTCTTGTGGAGATGTTTATATGTGTTTCACTTAAAGCTTTTATCCCAGTGAGAATGCCCCTCTGCTTTGCCCCGTCAGCCTTTATCCTGGTTCTAGAATGGCATTGTCAGGGCATACAAGGACTCTTAGTACCTCTGTGGGGCACAAAACATATGCACAGTGGCATATGGGCAACAAGGAGGCATTCACGCTTACACAGTCTTCCTCCTGTCCTCTGAATCCTTGCTGCCTGCCTAGCCTTCAGGGAGGCCTGCATGGTAGATCACCTTTTCTGCATGGGATGCTGGTCCTGCTGAAGACTGTGAGGAGACCAATTCCATCTCTTGCTTTGATGTACTCACGGACATGTAGAACGAATCCTCATTGGTCTTAATAAAAACCTGGCGTCAGATATCAGGATGAAAGCTGAAAGATCAGAGAAGCAGAGCAGCCAGCCACTAGAAAGGACTTCTTACCTCTAGGAATCCTCAGACAGAACGAGGAGCCGAGCTCCTGTCTCCTCCCGCCTTATATTCCTCTCTCCGCCCAGCCATATCACTTCCTGTCTCCACCTCCCTAGTGCTGGGATTAAAGGTGTGTGCCACCACTGCCTGGCCTCTGTGGTTATCTAGTGGCTAGCTCCACCCTCTGGTCTTCAGGCAAGCTTTATTTGTTAAAGCACAAACAAAATATCACCACACAGAGAGATACATGCTTACTTGTTGATGTTACTTTTCAACATATTCTTTTGTGTGCTTAAGTGTATGTCCACGTGCATATCTGTGTATGTTTGTGTGTAAACACGCCACCACACATTTTGGTTTAAATGTTTGGAGCTATAGTACTCACTACACAAATTATGGTAAAGCAAACTGTTCTAGCAGGTGACCAATCATAAAAAAATATGTGAATAGCAATAATTTTCAATCAATTTTTATGGGCATTTCAGAGTGCTAACCATTTACAGAGAAAAGAAAGTAGGTTTAAAATGTTTTTGAATGTGTACATGGGTGTGGGTTTGGTCTCTGTGTGTTCAGGCTTATGTATGTGAAGGCCAGAGGCTATTCTTAAAGTTGTTCTTAGGAAAGGACTGTATGTCCTTGAAGCTTGGTCAGGCCCTCCTAAACCATAACATAGAACATAGGCACCTCTTGAGACAGGGTATGTAAAATGAATTGCTAAATGGTCTTATTTAAAAAAAAAAAAAACCTGAAGCTAGATATTGGGGTGAAAAACTGAGAGATCAGAGGAATAGGAAACCACAGACAACCTCACTTCACCAACACCTCAATCTCCAAAGAGACCTACTTCCTATATACCCAAGCCTATATGCTTTGCTGTTCTGTCATGTTGTGTCCTCTCTCCACCCAGCTACATCACTTCCTGTCTGCCTGTACAGACCTCCAGGCCTCTATGGTTAGTGCTGGGATTAAAGGTATGTACCACCACGCCTGGCTTTGTTCCCAATATGGCCTTGAACTCACAGAGATCCAGATGGATCTCTGCCTCCCGAGTGATAGGATTAAAGGCATGTGCTACCACTGCCTGACCTCTATGTTTACTATAGTGGCTGGCTTTTTCCTCTGATCCTCAGATAAACTTTATTAGGGTTACAATATTTCAGGGGACACAATACATCACCATAAGGGTTTCTCTCTGTTTTTCTTTTCAAGACAGGTTGTCCTGGAACTACTCACTCTGTAGACCATGCTGGCCTTGATCTTACAGAGATCTGCCTGTTTCTGCCTTCCAAGTGCTAGGACTAAAGGTGTGTACCGTCATAGGAAACTTTAACAGTCTACTTCTCTTAAAGTATGTTTCCTTTGAAATAGTCTTATATTGGATCATCTATGTCCAGTACTTCACAATTTGTTATCAGGTTCTCAGAATTCAACCCTCCAAAACCTCATCTGTCTTGAACACAGCTAATAATCAAAAATGACTGTATTTTGAAAAACCAAAAAAAAAAAGACTATAATTTTAAAATTCACACTTACATTACTTAGCATGTTCATTAGTCACTTTTCTTTCGCTGTAATACAACACCATGACCAAAGCAACTTATAGAAGAGAGGGTTTACTTGTGGCTCATGGTTTCAGAGGGCAAACGTCCATCATCATCTTGGTGGGGAAGCATGGCACCAAGGCAGGAAGCAGGCACGGTGGCTGGAGCTGATTGATAAAGGTTGAGGTTGTGTGTTTGCAAACCACAAACAGGAAACAGGCACAGAAAGGAAACTCTGAATAGTACAAGTTTTTAAGCTTTTAAAGCCCACCCCCAGTGACACAGGCCACACCTCTTATGCCTCCCCAAACTGGGAACCAAGTATTCAAATGTCCAAGAATATGTAGGATATCTATCATTCAAACCACCACAGCATATAAAATTGTATATATAAGTTATATTCTTATGAAACTTGTTATCTCTTTCTG